TAACAGGCTCTTCAGAGTTTTTTTTTTTTTTATTTAATCATGTTTTTTTCACAGTGAAAAAGAACAGGAAAGTGCCTGAACTAAGGAAGCCCAATGCAGTAGTCTAGAAGATGGTAACATCATAGTAGCAGAGAGATGTCAAAAGCTTGCTCTCAAATAATAAAGACAGAAACAGATTAAAGGAGGAATTCATGGTCAGTGTTAAAAGATATAGGCAAGAGAGTGTAAAAGAAAAGATTAAAACTCGTTTTGGAAAATCTAGAGCATAAGTGATCCAGGAAGAAAGAAGAGAGGAAGACTGCATGTACCACAGGCTTGAACATGAAAATATGATGAGATATAGCAGTGGTTGACCAGCTTGGGCACATAGTTTTTGGTGGGTAGTGGTTTTTTTTCCTTTAAAGAGAGATGATAATTCAATCATACTATCAGGACAAGTTGCCAAATGCTTAGAAAAGATTAGGAAAAGGGGAAATAGTGAAGCAATACTGATAAAAATACTGAAGTACTAGCAAATTTTGCTTTGCTACTGTGAAAGTCAGTTTCTGTGATGACAATCGTCCTGTACCAAAAAAAGAGTTTGTGTTTTGGATGCCTGTATCTTTTAACACTGATTATGAATTCCTCCTTTAATCTGTTTCGGTCTTTATTATTTGACCAAGCTTTTGACATCTCTCTGCTACTATGTTACCATCCTCTAGACCACTGCATTGGGCTTCCTCATTTCAGGGACTTTCGTGATCTTTTTCATTGTGAAAAAACCTTGATTAAATAAAAAAAACTTCTGAAGAGCCTGTCAAAATAACCTGTGTCAGTGAAGTCAAGACTTCTGATTTACGGTACTGTTTTGAATACCTGGCTAATACTTTACAGCCATTGCTACTGGACTTTAATGTAGTATATGTTTTATTCTCATTAAAACATTCAAGTAATCTAATCATATTTAACGGCTGTTCCATCCCTAAGTTCTGGTGGGAGAAGGCTTTAAAAACAAAAAGATGTACTTATGTACCATACTGTAAACAATGCTGCTGTTTAACTGTATTAAAAATGGTAGTACATACCAGTTATCAGTTGTCAATGCAGTCAAGGAACCGTGCTTATAAAAGTCCAGTGCATATGCATTGAGTGGCCTCCTCCTTCCTTGATTATCATACTTGCTCAAATAAAGCAGGGGGCAGTTTGTGACATTAACTCCAAGGGAACGTAAGACAGCCTTAAAAAAAAAAAGAAATATCTGTTGAATAGCTGCTGTGCTTCTGTTTATATGCCTATTTTGTCAAACCTACAGCTTTAGACCCGCAACCGGGAAGTTCCACACTTCTAATTCCGGCCCACTCCAAAAATCTGCACAAGTACATGTAGGCTGTAAACATAGGACAGAGTTTGTTAGTAAAGTGACTTACACTGCCAGTGCAGCTCTGGGACGTTCTGAGTAAAGTTTAACTAGGTCATTGGATTTCTCTTGAGTTTTAGATGAGGATTTTTCCATATGCATACATCATGTATTCAGACTCTCTTACTGATGCTTTGAATGTATTAATCAACCTTAAGCATGGAACATTTTAAGGATGAAAGTGAATTTCAAATCCCCAGTTGTAGGAATTTAATTTTTTCTATTACAGAATTATGATTCGTGATAATTCCCTCATGCTACAAAGCCCATGTAGAAGACTGCAGGAAAATGCAAGCTGACAGTAAACATGTTGATGTATATTACAATTAAGCTAATTCATATGCTATCTAATGTAATGACTGAAATCCTAGTTGAGAAGCAAATGATCAATGCAATAATGCATCCTTTTGCTAGGATCCTTGAGAATGCTGTGTGATAGATTTAAAAAAAAAAAAAACCAACCACACCTGACATGGGGAAAACAAAACTGGGAATATGGCTTTAATCTGACATTTTAGAGTAATTTACTTGTCTCAGAGTCAAAAGCAACAGAGGCCTTGCAAGAAAGCAAACTATTTACAGATTTTTTTCCTACATCCATCTATCCTGTGTTTCTTGCACTGTGAGAATGTGGTGCTACTCAGTGCTGATTTTTTTTTTTTGAGACATTTGAAATTGTTTCTCCTAAAGAGTGACATTTGAGCATAGTGCCATCATATTACACAGAGGCAAGAAGATTGTAATAAAAAATTATTTTTATTGAACTGTAATAAAATTCTGCCCCCCATGAAAAAATAACTTACTTTATTAATGATCTCCCCATGAAATAGATCGTTATCAACTGCTCCAGATAAACACGCAAAAGGTGAGACGGCAGATATGCTTTTGGTGCTGTCCATCAAATAAGATGCTAGTTCAGAGCCATGCCAATTCTTAGATGTAAAATCTAGACAAGAAGTTTCAAATACAATGTAAGCTATGCAGACACAAGCTCCCTTTCAGCAATCTATTTTAAAAGCAAGAAATTTTCCGTTCAGTAGATAATGATAGGAAATAGAGTTAATCTTCTAAAATTAAATCCTTCTTGATAGATGTTTGTTTCTTTTGTTCATAAGAACCTCTACACAATTGATTATAGTATTTAAGAAAGGGCGTTATAGTGGTGAGAATAATTACGTCTCAATCCTGCCCCCTCGCAACTTAAGCCTTTCTCCTTGACTCATCTGTAGCCAAAATTGCTAATAGCATGAACTTGTGCCAAAAACAAAGGGAATGTTACTATTAGAAGACTTATTTTACCTCCATCTTTTATTCTGTCCTACGTTGAAGAAAAACAGGTTTTTTTCAACCTGTATTCACAGGTCTTAATAGCTAGACATCTAATAATTTTTATTGCTATCCTCTGGACTCCCAGCCAACGTTTTTCTTGAAGCGTGGAGCTCTAAAGAATGAATATTGCAACTAAGGCCCTGTTAGGGCTTAAGTATGTGAAGGTTGTCACATACAAGCGCTCTGCTTTATGCAACCCAGTATGAATTTCTGTTTTTACAACAGCATGGCATTTCAGTTGGCTTATGGTCTGCCTGTAACTTCAATCATTATCCATAGAAGACCTGTCTAGTTATTTCTAAATATATTTGTACTTTGATTTTCCTTTTCTAAATAGAAACTTTTTCTTTCTTTCCAAATTATCAACGATATTTTCAATCCTCATGCCGCAACCTTTTCTGCTTTGTGTTATGGTAAGTATGCTGTAGTTACACTGTTTATGGCATTCATAAAAAAAATCTCAGCAGTTTCACAAAGTATTTTTTTTGCAGCCTCACCCCAAGTTATGGTAAGTAAGTACAAAAGTCTCTACCACCTCATGAACTACAGGACATGGTTTGATCTTGCATTTCTTTTTCTGTAAATCTAATGGAAAGTGTTTCTTTCAAAGTGAAACAGCTTCAGCAAAATGGGGAGAATGCAACCATATTACACCTTCCATTTAAACATGAAACTTTACCATTAAAGTAGAATAGGAAACTCAATTTTCACAGCTCACATCCTGGGTAAAAGTAGCATTAGTAACACTAATATATATAAAGAATATATATCCTGAAAATGCAAGGCAGCCCATGCTTTGCTCTTCTAATTTGGAATTCCATCATTCTGTGATTTAAAACTCTTCATGTCCTATGTTTTTCAGGTAACATATCAAGGTGTGGGGGTCCCTCCATTGTTAAAATAAGCAATCTTAAATTGAATATGAAAAAATAGGATTTCACTACAGTGTTGCTAATGTTACACCATTATGCTGCACTTTCCAGTGCTCTGTACTGGAAATGGAAAACTGCTATTTACCATCTCAAGCCATACGTAGTATTCAATCTTGTTTTGCATTCACCTTATTTGTTCGTCTCCCCCAGTGCCTCAACTTTTGTATTAAGTTGACATCCACTTTATACAAAACTTTCTATGATCCAGGTATCTCCGTACTTGAAACTCAAAGTAGATGATAGGACATGGTAGCTTGTAAGGTGATTTCAGCTTTTTTTTTTTTTCCCCCCATTTGTACACAGCAGAGACTAAAAAAATCACTGTACTAGTGTAGGAAAAAAGGATTACTAAGTACAGTTATCTGCTATAATTAAAGTGGTTCTTACTGCAAAAATAGTATTTTTGAAGGCATGTTATTTTTAGAGGAGCTAGGCAATGGGATAGTGGTATATTACATTGCTTTTATATCTCTCTCCCAGGAAGTAACATGAGATTATGGAGTTGTTAAATATTTTTCACCCAATGGCAATCCATATTGCTTTGTAATTTTATAGTCATGCCTTTTCATATTGCTTTGGTTATTGGACATCATTTATTGGCATAAGTAACTTAGTTGATTTAACAAATGGTGCAATGTTTTTCTTTAACTGCTACTTCAATATTAAGGCTGTTCACATGTTGAAAATCCAACCTTTGTAAGACTCTGAAAGCAATTGAGGTATCACAGGCATTTGAGGATCTGCAAATGCATTGATGATTAGATAAAAAGGCTTTTATTCAGTAATTACACTTAATATATTTTTTCCTTTTATAAAAAACTCCCTTTGATTTTTATTTCCTCTACAAAATAATAAAAGAATAGCAACCAAAATGATCCTTTTCCTGTACAAAACTTCTACCATATACAATATAATCTATAATGCTTGTAAAACAAAAGTGAAATAGAAATTGTATCTCTTTATTAGCATGTCTGAAGTCACCATTTTTTTCTTTAGAAAATAAGAATTAACCTAACTTTCCTAATAAAATCAATTTCACAAATTATGGATATGCATTATTTTTTCACTTCCTACCTGTCTTTGACAGTGGAAGTCTGTATTCTTGTTCGATATCTGCCAGCTTGGCAGTTGTCAGAAGAAAATGAGCAAAATTTTCCTCTACTTTGGTGTTGTACTCATTTACAGCATCCGCAAAGTCTTCTGGCAGATCTTCTAGAAAGACCTGAAATAACGTGCAGTTTTTATTGCTTAATTCAGGCAATTTCTCCAGAAGTGTCAGTTCTACATTGGTGTAGGCATAAAGTATTAGTACACACATAGCATATTAGTAGAAAGAAGGAAAGAGTACAGCTCCAAACTTTACCCAGCTTGTCAGACTGCCTGACCATCTAGAATTAATGGATCTTAAAAATGAACATGAATTTCATGCAGAAAAAGGCATGGAAGATAAACAGCAAGTATAAAATTCCTAGATTTTTACTCACAGAGTACTTGGCAAACAGCTCTATTAAAGATGTTTCAGCTAGCTAAAACGGGACTTTTGAAGGGCTGCCTTTCCCAGATCTTGTTTTGCATATTTTGGTGTTCAACAGGTTCCCTACCAACATGACAGACTGATGCTTTGCTGCCATTAGCCACAGCAGTCCTGTAAGCCCTCTTACTTGACTAGCCACTTTTCAGAAATAAATCATGTTTTTCCTCTTGGAATGCTTGCTGGTAACTGGCCTCATAAGCATCTTCATATGGAAGAAGTTTCCTTTGTTGTTCCAGCCATAGCTGTGTCCTCCAAAATTTTAAGGCTTTGCATAAAAGAGCCAAAAGGAGCACATTACACGTTTCACTTTCTGCCTGTACCCATGGTGAGTTAACTTTATGCATAACTAATGTTAATGCTCATCCTACTAATATTGTCCCGTTTTTGGAAAAAGCCCTAAGCCTACTGTGTCATGTACCACAGAGCATGCTGGTGTCCTTCTGGGTCATTGGTATGTGTAGCTGAACAGCTGAAGAACTAGAGCCCATGGAGAGCCCACACCGTAGCAGGTTTATCCTGAAGGACTGCAGCCCACAGAGAGGACTCACACTGGAGCAGGGGTGATGTGTGAGGAGAAAAGAGCAGCAAAGCGAGCTGTTAAGAATCGACCACAACAACTCATTTCTCATCAGCCCTGCACCACTTGGGGTGGGGGTGAGGTAAAGGAGTCAGGAATGAAGGAGTAAAGTTGAGCCTGGGGAAGCCAGGGGGGGCGAGAAGGTGGTGTTGAAATTTTTATTTTTTGTTTCTCGCTACCAAAATCTATTTTAATTGGCAACAAATTAATTTAATTTTCCACAGGTTGAGGCTGTTTTGCCCATGATCATAAGTGGTAAGCAATCTCCCTGGTTTTGTCTTGACCCACAAGCATTTCCATCCTATTTTCTCCCCCATCCTGTTGAGATGGAGGAGTAAGAGAGCAGCTGGGTGGGCAGCTACCTGCTACCCACCAGACTACTGTACATCCATAATAACACTAGTCTAACGGACAAAAGGAAACAAGTTGATTGAAGTGGTACACAAAATAAGTTACAGTAAAGACCAATGCTTTCTTTACCTTTGACTGGCAAAATGTGTGTTTATATTTCATTGAGCAGGCTGGAAGGTATTTTCTCCCAAATAGGTTTGCTAGAACGAGCACTAGCTTTTCCAGGACATCTTCTGAAAAAACAGTTGAGCCTATGTCAAAACAGAAAGTACTTGGGTTAAATATGAGAGTGTAAAATAAACAAGTCCTATGCAGGAGTTTCCTTCCCAGCTGCCTCTGTGACAGAAGTTATGTAAAACTATGTTGGATAAAGATCAACTCATTACATACAAAAAACTCTGGTAGATAACCGAGTAACTAATATGTACAAATTAATACTGTATTCTTATATGCTCACATACCGCAGCACACCTCATTGCACAGAATGGGTTTTACTCATGTAATGAGACATTAGTAGTACTTCATTTTTTAATTTGTTGACATTCAGAGTGGTCTTCCATCTTATTTGCTACATGGCGTTCAAATCTTGCTCTGGAGTCAGAATTATTAATTTTTCTATGTATAGCATTCTCTTCCACCCCATCAGAATGTTTCACAAACAGTAAATTTAGGTTCACAATACTAGCATTGCCATATGTGTGCCTTGGCTTTCTCAGACAGAAATACAAGCATACGCAGAGTGTGTAGAGACAGAGGCCAAGGATATGAGGATGAAGGCTAGGCAAGCAAAAGGTGGCAGCAGCAAGAAGGCACCCAGAAAATTTCAGAACCATTGGGGTTACAGAGCCTGCCATAGACCGCAATTAAGATGCATGGAGTATTATTTACCTTTAATTGGCTGGCATAACTTGTGGAATAAACCTTTCACGAGAAAGCTCACTAAAACAAAATTTGAAGGTTCGTAATAGTACAAGTGTGTCACAAGTCCAGCAAATCCCATGGGGTTACCTTCTTGATCCAAGTAGCCCTATTTAATTTAAAAGCAAAAAAAAATCTTAGTTGTAAAAGATGAACTTGGATATGACAAAAATATAAAATGGTGGCATTCAGAAGAATAATCCTTCAACCTAATGCATAGGTACCTATTGAGACCATTCAGTTTCCACTGAAAGGCAAGAATTTGTCCTTACTGAAAAACAAGTCACCAAGTATTTGAGTGTTTCCATGGGAGATCCTCATCTCCCTATGCAAAGCATAGATCTTGACTTCATTGTTTTAGCGCCCATTTAGATCATGTTGCAAATGAAAAGTGCATACAGTCACCAAAGTAAGACTTGATGCAACTTTCATTTAAAAAAAACTATTAACCCAAATGTCTGATGGGATAAAAGCATAGCAAGCAATGATCTGTCAAATATGTTGTTGCAAGATGTTTGGGTGCTAGAAGCTTATATAGTTTCCAAAAACAACAGGACAAGCTCATGGAATAAAACTCCACCAAAGGCAATAAATTCCAGGACACCTCTCCTGTCAGAGATCACTCTGCATCACGCCCTGTAAGAAAGTAGGGAGTATCCAGAGAATCATCATTATATGGTTGCCCTTTTTTTTTTTTTTTTTTTTTAAATACACTTCCCTGGGAAAATGATTGGAGACAGAATACTAGGTATGTGGGCCAGGTTTTGTCCAGTTCTTATGCTTCTCTCTTGTACACTGACTAGATTCTTCTCTTCAATGGGAGTATCAGACTCCTGGTCTCACATACAAAGGACACCCAGTAGAGGAGGCAGAAACATTGGTTAGGGCTCCTACGAGGAGCAGGACTGGGAAACCTGGGCACAGATGATTTGTTAATGTAATCACATGTTAATGTAATCACAAGCCAAAATGGAGTAAGGCATAAAAATTTTCCAAAATGGTATCCATCAAATTGAAACTATTACTATGGAAAGATACATCACTATATTTCAGTCTTCTCTAAGGCCTACTTCCTAAATTTTTTTTAGAGATATAATTTCTCCCAGCATTTTGGAAATCATGTCATCCTTAGTATGTTTTAAACCCCTATCATTTCACATGCATGCATCTTCATATACACTATAAATGCACAACTTTTACTTTCCTAATCAATTTGTAATCATATAGACATACCATAAGATTTTCCCTATTGAATTTATTCCACAACATATCATATTATGCTCATAATTAACCTCAAACTTAAAGCACTCTAATTTTATGTTTCCTTAAATTTCTTTCTAACAGGAAGAAATAGCCTGTTGCTATTGGAATATGGAATATAAAATTATATGGAATTTATATGAAATATAAAATATATGGTTCTTTAAATGAAAGCATACTAACACAAACAAATAAGAATCTGTAGATTTAAGAAGAATTATCCTTTATGAGAACGAGTTAAAACCTACCTCTTTGACAAGAAATTGCAAGGAAAACATAAAATAAATTTTTAATATTTCAGCATATCTTTCCTTTCTGAATGACATCAGTGAATGCTTCAATACTGACAATGCCTGGTCAAACAAACAGGAAGGGGGGGGGGGGGGGGGGAATAAAATTAGAATGTTGATATTGTAACAAGCAAAGAAATTCAATATCCAGCTTTTATGCTTTGTTTCATCAATTGGTTTTCAGGGTAAAAATGCTGGGTGGGGGTTATGTTGTATTTTTATTTAAATTGAATGCCTAACTCCTGGAAATGCTTGTGAAAAAGTCCATCCTCTGCCTGTCAGATGTGTGTGCATTTTCTAAATTTATGCTGAGGTTTGTAAAGTTAATTACATGAAATTCATATACAGATCTAAAAGACAAGGATTTAAATATCATTAAACTAAAACCAGGAAGTTTTGAAATTACTCCTTACACTTTAATACCATTTTAATATTTAACACAGAAGTTTACCATTTTACTTTGTTATCTTAAGAAGACTTATGTCTGAATTCATTCAGTGAGTCCTTGAAAATAAATGACTAAATGCTGAAGTGGATGTAAAAAACAGATCATCTGGAGGTAAGAGTTCCTTAATAATTACAAGAGAAGATCTCTGACCAATTTGTAATCATGGTCATGGGTTGTTTACTTAAATCACTGCATTGAATGGCAAGAATAAGAATTCTTTGATTCCAGAGAGTTAGTATGCAGATTTAAACAAGTGAGTAATACATAGAATTTTCTCATTATTTCAATTGAGATAGCATTTCATAGCTCCCCTCTTCCCTATGGAAATATATGTTCACATCTTTTCTTCAAATAAAGCTGAAATTTTAAATATTGAAAGACTTTCTGATTCTCCAAGTTAATGCAAATATTGCATAGAACAAGAGTCAATAAAAATACCTTCCTGATAGTAGCATTCTTTCTGAGGATAATATTTATTGCAAAAAATAAATGCATGAAAATGGACAGTACACTACTGTGGAGAAGATGGCACAGGTACTAGAAGCAGCATAACAGAGCATGCAATTTCATTTGGAGGCAGATTGCTTACTTCTGAAGTGCATAACTTTCAGCTCATGTTAAGGAGACATTACAATTTAATTAAATTACTATTAAGAAAAAATATTAAACCTTTGCTCTGGCATCTGCTTTGTCATCAGCCTTCGCAGCCAACAGCATGAGTCTCAATATTAATGAAACAGTCAGAGGAAATTGGCCTTTCAACTGAGGTACGTTGGATTTCATAAGTCTTTCAACTTTGGGCAGTGGGATATCGTAGAAGAACACATTTCCAATCATATCTTGTCCCCGTCTTCCAGCACGTCCTGACATCTAAGAGTAAAATATTTTAAAATTATATTATTA